TCTCTCTCTCTCTCTCTCTCTCTCTCTCTCTCTCTCTCTCTCTCTCTCTCTCTCTCTCTCTCTCTCTCTCTCTCTCTCTCTGTGTGTGTGTGCGTATGTGTGCCCTACACACTCTTACACTATTGCACTTGTATACACCACAAACACGGGCACACAAGAACGCACACGGATCCACTACTTGCCTGCCCGACGGGGAGTTCACATACAACACTTGCTGCATTCACTTCATCTCAATGCCGATGTTTGGAAATTCCTCCGAAGAGAATGGAGAGCAAGTTAGAGACGAGGACGTTGACAACGATGTCTCATTGGAAGTCGCCGTCCGAATCGATCTCAATGGTGTGCCTGATGTTGTTGAGAACGGCGAGCGGAGACGACTGAACTGGCCGGCTACCCTTCGGAAGACGCGAGGGTAACACCCGTCCAGGTGGAGTCCGCGGGTTTTCCGATTCGGATCCCTCTTTTCCAAACTTGGATTCTCTCGATCTCTTCCTCGCATTTCGCTCTTTCTTCTGCTCCTCTGCATCTGCAAACAGGCTACCCCTGGTTCTACGCTTGTTTTCCCGCGGGTCCAGAACCTGCATGTTCGATCCTTTGTCAACACCACCGACTCGTCTATTACTGGCGCGCATCTGCAGAACATCCGGTGCCCTGCCATTGGGTGACAATGCACCGTTGGCTGATCGAAAGATGTTCTCCTTGTCTTCTTCACAATTCACAAACACGTCCACATCGAATACGTCGACGCCGCCAGGAGGACAGTTCTCATCTCCATGTACACAGCTGAGCGACCTATTGTTCTTCGCGTTCCTGCCCTTCCTACCCCTCCCTCCCCGCCCTTCGACTGTGTTAAGCCTGGCACGACCAAGGACTGGTGGGCACGCCCCCGGCTCGGGAACAGAAAGATGCCGAGCCGCAGGTCCACTCAAGCTCGTTGGCACTCCACCAGCAACTGCAGAAGGATCAGAGGGACAACCAGAAGCGTCAGAACCGCGCACTACATTCCGCGGGGCAGTATTCACCTTCATCATGGCGTGCACCATAGCCGTCACCGTCTTGATGTCACCTTCTTGATCTGCAAGCATACCTTCCAGCAATCCGCGTTCGAATGCTGGGTACTCCTGCAATAGCTTGAGAAGGCCTTCACGTTCGGAAAGACTCCGCTGATCCTCTTGCTTTGTCGTCGATTGACCTCCCGTTTCCCGAAGCACAGCTTCCTCAGTAATAACCTCAGGAGGAGAAAGCGGAGAAGCTGCTTCTTTGGCACTCGCCATTGCTTCTGTTGGTCCCGCACCTGCTTGACCAACGACCGCAGTATTCAACGAGCCGTCTCCATAAGGATCAGATGCAGCTGAAGTTCCACATCCGATCCTCTGAACTGCCTGTTCTTGCAATTTTCCCTCTGCTGCAACGTCCTCCTTGGGAGTTATCTCGACTGCAAGATCACAATCATTACGTGACTGCTGATTAACGAGTACACAATGTGAAATCTCAGACTCGTGCTCTCGTTTCATTCTTTTGAGACGAGTGGGTTCAGCCGATTCCTTTTCCAACCAGTCCTGACGACCAACTTCGGCTTCAGAATCCTTCACGTCATCATCCTCGCCCCTATCAAGTTCGACCGATCCGTCAATGATACCGAGCTCCGCGGAGCTCGGAGTAATCTCCGGATAATCGCCTGCCGCCGATTTGTCTTCCGTTGCCTCGTCGTCATCATTCCCCTCTCCTGCAGCATCAGGTTTCTCAGCATCAGAACGAGATAACGCACGGATGATGCCCTCCATCTCATGGTTGACTTGCGGATTGACAAGGTATTCAGCGAGATCGGCTTTGCACGTGGGGCAAGGCTTGGCGACGCGCTGAGCGCGCAAAGTGCGGCCGCCAGGCCGACCACGTACGCGTACATCCTCCAGACCAAGAAACAAGTACTCGAGACACGGTTTACAGAAGTTGTGCCCGCACGGAGTGCACAGCGGCGACTGGAGAACGCTCTTGCAAATCCCACACCCAAACTCCTTCAACAACCTCTTATGGAAGCTGAGCTCCTTCTTCCGGATGGCGCCTTCCGTCTTCTTGGGACGAGCTCCACCACCTTCGAAGCGACTCCGTGGAGGTGGGGTCACCCAACCCCACTCTTGCTGATCCTCCTTCCAGTCCCAAGCAGCCTGACCCTTCCTCTGAGTAATGTCCTGAGCTGCCTTGAGCTCAGGAACCACCGGCAAGGGACGGGGCCGATCTCCCTGCTCGTCGCTGAGCCAAGGAGCGGGCGCATTGTCACAACGAACAACGAGATAACGACACATCAGCGTGCCCTGATCGCCTTTCTTCCGCCAACACTTCTCTATACGATAGATGCCATCATATCTCACACCGGTGATAGGCGCGTACGCAGATCTCTTCTCCTTGTGAGACCTGATTACTCGAAGGGGAAGACCCTTCCTACAACTCACCAGCAACGCCTGGTTCAGCTTCGCGAAGTCTTGATCGAAAGACTGAACATTGTTCGTGCGCTTGTTTCCACTCAAGTCTCTCCCCCCACTTCCCGTGTACAAAAACCACTCCCCATGATCCTCGTCATCCACGTACCCACCAGACAAGCAAATGGACTGCGCGCCGACCTCGCTCTGACCAGCTATCCCCGCTACATGAGGCAAATGCGCCCCCCACTGTCTGCATTCCATCCTATCTTCCCACGACTCACCTACCAACACCCCCGTTTTCCTTTCCGGATCGAACTCCGGAGTTATGGGTCCGAAGTGATCTGCCGGAGAGGTCACGAAGATTCGCCCGCTGCAAGCGTTCGCCTTGCCCGGTTTACAAGCCCTCTCCGTCGTGAAAGCCTTGTCCGGCCGACTCGCATTCTCTATGTTATGATAGACCCTCGGCGTTGCGGTCCGCGCTTCTCCCCCCCCTCCCGTCGCCCTTGCCTCCGCTGCCTTCTTCGCCATCCTTATCGCGATTACCAACGCCGAGTTAATCCGAAAATTGCTCGCAAATCTATCCAAGCTAGCTCTGCACCTTACACACGTTCGTTTGCCTTGAGAGATCCACTTTTCGAAACATTTCAGGCAGAAATTGTGACCACACGGAGTGGTCACTGGTCGGTCGCACAAATTGATGCAGAAGCTGCACTTCAAGTTCTCATCAAAAGCGTCTAATGTGGCATTAGACGTACGTGCGTTGTTGACATCACCGTTACTCTCACCTAGAGGCGTGACGTGCTTCGCGACGTTCCCGCTGTTCTTTCTTTTCTTCGCAGCCCTGTCCCCATCATTCTCTTTATCGTCGTCGTCGTTCACGTTCCTCCTCTTCCTCTTCTCGGACGGAATCGATCCCTGCATGGGATCTGCATCCTTTCCCACAGCTTTCATCCCAGCACACATGAGCTTTTGGCGCCGCTTCGCCTTCTCCTCTTCCGTGAGACTCGGATCGTTCTGGATGGCCAAGATCTGAGCGACCAGCCCACCTTCAGATACCCCATTCCCCTGTCCGGATACCGATAAAGGGATGGTAGGACGCGACGCAGAGTCTGCTGGCAGACTGCAGTCGGGACACTGCCAATCAGCCATCGGCACCTCCAAGAGAGGCTGTTTCAAACACCCCATGTGCCACGGACTAGCGCACGTATTGCAGAGGAGCACCTCCCCATCTGGAGGAGGGTTCGCCTTGCAAATCGGACACATACCATCTGGCCCAACAGGCAGCTCAAGCGGCACTCCGGCTTCGCCCGCCATGCCCAAGGACACAAGGACGATAGCTCACAACCACAAGACGAGCTGACAACAACAGAAAGTACCGCTCACCACGTGGCACGCAACAGTAAGACCAATAGCTGTCTTTCCTTGTCACTTCTTCCCTCCGTCCACCCTCTCTTCGACGACCTCCACCTACGCCCTTCCTTCTTCTCCTTCTCGGTCACCCTCGATTCCTCGACAGGAAGCCGAAATTACCCTCCTAATGAGGGCAAAGAAAACAGGTAGAAGGGGACTACAAGTTTGGGACGCTGATGCACATGCGCAAAGGTAACAGAAATGCCGAGAAATCGACAAGCGTGAGTCCAGAGGCTGGAGAAATCAAGAACAAAGCTCCGAGAGGCCGAAGACATGCAAGCAGGCAGTAAACAATGCCTTCCTTTCGCCCTCTCGCAAGTGACACACCAATGTATCAATTGAATTGTCAACGTGACTAACAAGACGGAATGGGAATCATCACTATGAAGTGCCAAAAGCTACGTCCACAAGTCCACAAGAACAACGCTACACCCCCACTTGACGCGCTAAGAACTGCGCCAAGCAACGATGACGACGATTACCCACAACAGCTTCAACACAGTCCAGTGAGCGACTTGCTCCGATTAGTAGACAATGACAATCAGAGAGAGAGAGAGGGAGAGTTATAGCGAGACGTAAGGCTCGGTCTGCATTTCTTGTGCCCTGGGGGACGCTTTGCCTACCCCGCAATGGAGAGAGAGAGAGAAGTCGAACTTTTCAAAAAAAAGTGGAGGGAAGGGCAGAGATAATAGACACGCCCCTCCGCCTGCTGATGCTTCTTGACAGGGTGGTTTTTGCCTTTCCCTCCTTTCGTCACGTTCTCGGTGATCCGCAATCTCAGAGCGCCGGCAGTTTTTTGCCCTCAGAGCGCCGGCAGTTTTTTTGCCCACTTGCCCTTTTTCGATTGCTCTGTGGACGTAATTGCGATCAGATACGTCCACAGCTGGCTGTAAATACGATCAGACGTGTCCATGGAACTCCTACCGTAGTGTGTAAGCATTCTCTGATCCGGATACTTGGCGGGGTAGCAGTTGCGACCGACTCCAAGGCAGCGCCTGGCTTTGAGCGGTTAACCGACCTCCGCTGAAATAAACCAGCGGAAAAAAAAAAACAGCGGCGTGCGAAGATCCGCCGGCGCTAATTTAAAAAAAAAAAAAAAAAAAAATCCGGCGCTACTACTGTCTTTCCCCCGCCGAGCGCTGAGAACCCGCTGTGTGCTCCTTTTTCTGGATTACTGTCAGACGCACTTTCCATTTCTGGCATTTTTTCAAGTTCTCGCTTTTGGCGCCGAAATTTGAATTTCAACTTCTCATGTGCCGCCCTTCTCGCCTACCGTTGCGGACTCCACGTTTCCCGCCTTTTAGCGCCCTGGAAACCGCCGGCCATAAGGCCGCGCCACCGGTCCAGGGAGTTTGCACTCTAGACACACTCGCAATTGGACCTTTTTAGACTGGTATGTACACAGATTTGCGGAAAGTGCATCCGTAACTGGACGGACAAGCCGTATGATACATCGAGAAAACAAAACAGGCCCCGCTCTGCGCGACATCGGTAACGGTTTCCTTCGGCCGCAACCCAACCAACCACCGTAGCGCCCAGCGCATCACACTCCACTACATAACTTTCCAAACGTATCTGGATGTAATAGTCACACCGATGCATTCAAAATGTTGAATCATCTGGACGGCAGGACCGCCCAGATACGCGTTTTAGTGGAGCGAGTCTCCCAGGTACGCAACTGTCGGCAGACGAACAGACTGCGAGCTCGAATCCAACAGAATCAATATAGATATACAACGCACAATACAGTAAGGCCATATCCCCTTTCAAAAAAACGAAAAGCAAAAACAAACAAAACAAGAAAACTTCCCCAAAAAAAAAAACAAAAAAAAAAAGCAAAACGACAAGGAACAAGGGGGGAAAAAAAAAAAAAAAACAAAGAAAAACAACCATGGCGAGTGAGGCGGGAAGGGCTACGGTAGCCTGTTCTGCATTCATCTGAGTGGGGGACTGCAGGACTGCAAAGACTGATGCGTCAGCTCACTATTACGCAGGGAACAGTCTGGCGGAGGCCCCAGCACCTGCAGCCAGGACAGTAGGGGGCCCGAAACGCAGCCTCGACGGTACAACGGGCGTAAAAGCAAACCGCGGACCCCCGGTTTGGAGCAATCCCTTGTTCTTTCATAAGGGGGGGGGCATCCCCACAGCCTTCTTTGGCATTTTCCAGGGAAAGGGGGCCCACTTCGCAAGGCAATGGGCCCCCTTTTCGGGGAAGGAAAAGGGGGAATGGGAAAACTACCAGAATGAGTCCGGGCATCCTATCAGGTACCTGGTTGACAACGACGTCCAAGTTCATTTTGCCCTTCAGGACATCGGTTCAAAATACAGAGAAGATTAGCACGTCCCCTGTGCAAGGATGACACTCGTAGGGCAGAGATTTTAATTGGTTGAGGGGTTTTCGGCGGCAATCATCTCTTCAGACTGCAGTTCAGGATTGGAACCTTCCTGGGCCTAGGTCCCACTTGCACGAATTAAGCGATATTGACCGTAGACAGCAGAGATCAATGGCCGAGAGCTCCTAATTTGCGCAAGTGGGACCTTGCCCCTGGATGGGCCCCAGGGTTGGGGCTATCTCGGATGGTGCTGCTCCGTGATGAGTGCCCTTCGCTATATGTGGATAGTAGCCTAAGGTACTCATCACACTTAGTTTTTCCACTTCGCCGCTTGTTGCACATGCTGAGCCGAGTGGCACTTTCCTGCAAGGTGAGCAACAAGCTTTGAGTTTCACTCAGAGGATTTTCCGGTTCGCATGGCGAACAACGCTGTCTTTTCAGGGCCACTGAGCCTTTTCCAGCCTCGGAAAATGGCTGGGTACAGGTTTCGCTGGGGTGCAAATTGAAAACGCACCCGGCCACCCTGTTACAGGCTGAAACTGTGGCAGTGACCAGTTCTACTGCGTCCTACAAACGGTAATGCCATCGTTTGGATATCACACGGCCTGCGTTTCTTGGAATGTGACAAACTCGTGCCGCCTATCCCGCCCAACAGTTCGCCAGCCCTCCTGCCAGCTAACCAGCTACCCAGCCATCCCTACAAGACTACAATCGCCTTCCAACGGGTGAGAGCTCTTGCTGGGTCTGTGTGTGTGTGTGTGTATGTGTGTGTGTGTGTGTGTGTGTGTGTGTGTGTGTGTGTGTGTGTGTGTGTGTGTGTGTGTGTGAGAGAGAGAGAGAGAGAGGGCCTCCCTCCACAGCTCATGACATGCACAAAGAACCAAAAATTATGGAGGTGTGTGTTTCCATGTTCTACGTGAGCA